GTGTGTGTGTGTGTGTGTGTGTGTGTGTGTGTGTGTGTGTGTGCATGTGTGTGTGTTGGGGGACTGTAGGCTGTATTGTGCAAGATTACAAATGCTGCCAATGCCAACAATAAATTGAGCACTAAATAAATAATACTGTACTGTCGCTGACTGTTAAATATGTAACGCATTATAGTTCAAATCATAGTTCCCACAATGACAAAGCACTTTAAAAAGTGAAATATGAAAGTGTCTAGTAGAATAACATCACAAGTAACTTGAATGAATGTGAAAATAAAGCCTCATAAAGATAAAATGTACATGATTATAATAATGAAGAATAACGTTCTCCATGGTGATGAAAGTACAACTGCACATGATGGTGGTGGGATTTGCACATGAAAAGCATGACATTGAACTTATAGATAGCATTGCCCATGTTAATGAAAAGTGATACTGTAATGATAAGTAATATTGCACAAAAGCACAAATACACATGATGGTGGTTATATACTGCACATTATACTAAAACTAGAAAGATAATATTGCAATGACGAGTAATATTGAAGCTGGTGTTGAAAAGAGAAATCCTGCACAACTGTCAGAGTTAAACTTCCCCGAGTCAGGAATCTTGACAAAGGGAGAAAGCAAAGCTCAGACAGCAGGTGGCAGGTGGAGCAGGTGGAGCAGCCCCTGCAGGGAGCTGATGAGGGGCTGGGGACAGGTGAGTCGGTGGGTGGGGGTCTGATGATTGGACTGACAGGGTCTCCTCCTCCTCTTCCTCCTCCTCTTCCTCCTCCACACATGTGCCCGGGCCTAGGCGATGCGTGGTCGGCGGTGTTCACCTTTGAGCTGAGGGAGTCCCTGCGCACAAACAGAGGAGGAGCAGCAGACTGTCGGAGTGAGTGCTGCATGAGAACAGAGAGACGTCCTCACCTCCACGCCTCTCCCTCCTCACTGCTCCTCACTGCCCCGCTCTCCTCCTGGCTCCTCCCCGCGCTCATTAAATGCCAGCTCTGCTCCTGGGTCAGCTGCAGAAGAAGGCAGTCATGACTGTGGAGCGTTAAACAGGACCTCTGTCACCACCACCACCACCACCATCATCATCATCATCAACATCCTGGCTGCGAGCTAACATCTGAGTGTGCTCTCTCCTCTCCGGCTCCCTCATCCTCCAAGGAACCGACATGAAAACCATTCTGGCTGCGTACTCAGGCGTCCTGAAAGGTGAGAGACGCGTCCACAACGAGCTGAGCAGGGTTAAATCACCCGACGTCAGTTTGCTTCTGTCACTCTGTGCTGAGAGACTCTTCACTCACTCATTTCAATTTCAAATGTATCATTCTACATTTTTACACCAGTGACTGAAACCAGTTTCTAAACTTGTCGCCTGTTTGCTTCTGTCATGCCGTGGTATTCTGTGGAATCCACCTTTTACACGATGATATCAAAACTACATGTACTTTTATTATTATTATACCTTTGAGTCAAATTTACATTTGTGATATTGTAGAGGACTGCGGCAGAAGTTTTATCGAAAAGATTAAAAAAGTTACTGTCAGTTTGCTGCTCACTTGTTCTGTGTAGGGCACTTTTTACACAATGACCTCAAATTAAAATGTATTATTAATATTTTTATCCCAATATGTATATATTATATTAGTGTTATCTTTAGAGGATTACTGCAGAAATATCATAGAAAAAAGTTGACAGCAGTTTCCTTCTGTCATGCTGTGTTGTATTAAGTGGAAGGCACTTTTTTTTACATGACGTCAAATCTAAAGGTTTTATCAATATAAATGTTTATACCAATATCTGATATTTAAAAAAAGAACTGTCACCGTAAAGACCAAAATGTGCTACCTAGATATATTCACTAGCTGGTTTTGTAGTCTGACAGTTTGTGCCATCCTCTAGTCTCTGCATTATTCTCCACTTTTAATGTTTAACAGGCAAATTGAAGCTTTATATTTGATTGTCCATAATATTTATACCAGATTTTTCTCATTTTAATATTTAACATATTTCACTGGAAAGGCCTTTGTTTTCTAAAGCAGTCTAGACCCTTGAAGGTCTGCTTTGCTGCTAAAACCCTCAGTTTCTTTGACACTCTGCTGCTGCTTACACTTAATTTGAGAATATGAGATTGTAAATATGAGAGCTGATAGACTTAGGGTGGAGAAAACAAGTGCACTCTGCAGCTGTAGATGATGTGGCTGTGCAGTTACAGACTCACTGAGGTGGATTTATGCTTTTACCTGGCTGCTCCATCTGCGGGACCTGGTGGTGTTTGTACAGGACTCGTACACATACTGTCTGTCGGCAGATTGAGGAATTGAACTGGTTACTCTCTATGTGCTTGCTTTGGGACGTAAGTGAGCGGTGCTAGAGTTAAGGAGTCACAGCTTGATAGTTAGCAGGTATTACCAGCATCAGATCACTGCTGGGTTATTTTCAGTGAGCACAGATGGGATTAGAAGAGTGTTTTCCTGGAGGGTGGGTGGTGGGGGATCTTCTTCTTCTTCTTCTTAACGGCTCCCTCGGTGGTGCGAGCTTGAGCCGCTCTTAATGTGTCCGTTACTTCGTCCTCACATGTAGCTGCGTTGTTTTATGACTGAAAAGAGCTGGTGAGTAGCTGAAGCTCTCACTGTGTGTGTGTGTGTGTGTGTGTGT